CCTGCCCAGCCCGGGTCGCCGCGGCTCGCGCCCGCCGCTTAACGCTCGGCGCCGCTCGCTCCTCCGGGCGCCGCGGACCCCGCCGCAAACGGACACAATGGCGGCGGCCACCGCCACCCCCGGCACGGCCGCCTGCAGCAGCGGCAGTGCAGGCTCCGACGCCGCGGGTACCGGCGGGTTGCAGCCGCAGAAACAGCCGGGCCCGCCGCCGCTGCCCGCGCACCCCCGGAAGCCGCGCATGGACCCGCGGCGGCGCCAGGCTGCCCTGTCCTTCCTCACCAACATCTCGCTGGACGGACGGCCGCCGCTGCAGGACGAGTGGGGAGGCGACGGCGGCGCGCCCAAACCGGGCGCCAGGGCTCGGCTCAGCCCGCTGCCCACCGGCTGCAGCGCGCTCGCCACGCCGGGCCCCTGCGTCTCGCAGCCCTGGCTGCTGCCCCGCGCGTCGGGGGAGCTGTCACTGCCGCCCCGGCCGGCGCCCATCGCCGCGTGCGTCCCGCTGCAGTCGCCGCCGGAGGGGCCCGGGCCGGAGGAGCTGGAGGAGGATGACGCCTTCGCCAGCGTGCAGGTGCCGGCGGCCGCCTTCCTGGGCTCCGGAATCCCCGGCAGCGCGAGCGGTAGTCGGGGTCGCCTCAATTCGTTCACTCAGGGAATCCTGCCCATCGCCTTCTCCAGGCAGACCTCCCTGGAGCAGCCGGGCCCGGGCGGCGGTGCCGGCGCCGGCGCCTTCGAGCAACTGCAGAGGTCCCGGTGAGTGTCCGGGACGCGCTGCCCTGCGTCCCTCCCCGCGCCCCTTGCGCTCGACCCCGGGCCGGCTCGGGGTTGGAGAACGGGTCCCCCTACCCTTCTTTCCGCGCCCTTGACTCCTGCGATACGGGTCCGAATCCCTAACCACAAGAACTCGCGAAAGAGGAAGGGCCGTGGGAGTGTGTAATCACGTGCGTGTGTGTGCCTGTGTGTGCGTGTACACGAGCCCGGCGCTCGCAGAGGGAAAGCACTCCGCCCGTGCTCTAACCCCAGAGTTGCAGGAGCGCTTTGAAAAGTGGCTCCCAAACCTCCCAGCACGAGGAGAGATCACAAACTTCCTGAAACCGGGTCCAGACCCGGAGGCGCGCTTACAGGCCTGGCAGGGAGCTGGGGGTGGGGTGGGAGCGAACGCGTGAGCCCCTCGGAGAAGTCCGGGGGTTCTGCAGCTGGGGAAGCACTTTCCTCATAAGAAATTCTTCCTGTGTCTCCCTGAATCAGGCCCAGAGGCCACAGGAAGGGGAGGGAAAGCTTGACCCCATCCCCCCAGCGAAGATGAATTTGCTGGCGGTGGTTAAAAGCCACTTGCCAGCTTAAGTTGTCTGCAGCTGTTCGGCGTCTTAGCAAAAGCACGAAACGGTGGACATCTGCTTAATCAGGAAATAGCCGGACCACGTGGCCATATGTTCAGGGGCAGTTGGTGTTGGGCATCTGCAGGGGACCAGAGGGTCTGGAGGTTGGGGGCAGCCAGAGTGGGGAGCAGACAGAAATGCAGCGTGTTTCTTGTTAGTTAGTAAGGCGGCCTCTTGTGAAGTTAGTGATAGTGGAGGCTCCACCTTATCACTAACTTAGGTGGCCTGGATCCTTGGTTTCCCCTTCAGGAGTAGGCCTTTCCCAGCAGTTCCCTGGCTCCCTGTCACAGCCCCTCCTATGATACTCCCTGAGCCCGGGCTTGCGGTGGCCTGTTGCAAAACCCACCGTCCTCCCTTAGTCAGATGGACAGACCGGTCTCATCCAGAAGTTTGCTCTCTTCCCAGCTGGTGAAGTCACAACCGCGTTGGTGTGGAGCATGGACAGGACTGCAAGGCTAGGGTGTGGGCCAGGCGGAGGCCTGGTGGTTGCACTGCTGAGTTATGGGCTCTGGGCACAGGTGACAGTCCTGCTGTGGTATGACTTGCCTGAGCTCGCCTCTCCCCACTAGCTGGTGAGTGCCAGCCGGGGCGTGCTCACTCAGCAGTTCTGGGCAGTGTGGCGGAGCACTTGACATCACAGCCTGGCCCAGAACCCCTGGAGTTTGAGCCCAAGGCCAGCAGTCGGGCATGACAGGAACAATAGTAAACGTGGGTGTTGTTCTAAGCCAGTGTGCAGGGCTGGCCTGGGTCACCTGGTAGACAGTAGCTGGAGACAGGATTACTTTGCAGTTTCTCCAAGAAACTCATTTCAGGGGATGTGGAGGATCTTGTGTGTTAGTATTTTTGAGCCAAAGAACTTCCAGAGCTGAAGTCTAATCCTGCTGCTCTGAGCCTGTAGGTCTCATTGATCCCTCCCACCCCACTCTAAAACACCCTTCCCTGGCAGTCACGTTCCTCCTGCTACTCCGGAGCAGTACTACTTCTGGCAACTCCAACAGGAAGTTTATAATGACAGCTGTCGACAGAAGCAGCATCAGATTAGAGGTACAAAGCGGGGGGGGGGGGGATATAAAACTGATTTCAGAAAGGTCTCTGAAGACAGGCCAGCCAGGCTAGGGATGGTGACCAACTTGGGACATCCTAGGACACTTTGTTGCCCTGCTTTTCAGACCTTTGAGGTGTGCTGCTTTTATGACCCCTGAAGGGCAGGATCACCTGCCAGGACCCGGTGCAGAGTCCTCTTGCCTGGCCTAGGCGGCAAGGCTGCTCTGTCTCCATTCGGCTTTCGTCCTCAGGAGTCACTGCCCCCCGCGGTTCTCTGTGCTGCTTTCCCAGGATGTGCTCTGCCAATCAAACTAGACTTTCCTCAGGTTGATTTCTAGCTATTTAAGGGATTCCACGGCACCTTGCTGCTCAAACCCTCAGCCTCCCTGGAAGCGCTTAGAAATAAAGGTGGCCTCTCTGGCCCACACTGCCCTGCTTGCCGCCAGAGCTGCATTTTAACAAGCCCCCGGGTGATTCCTACACAAATGAGAGTTGGAAAAGCGGGCGCGGTGAAGCTGAAATCTGCCCCTTTTTATGACTTTTCAACTTTCTGCGTAGAGTTTGTTTGGGGTACATAAAAATCAGGATTTCATGACCTGAAACCTTGAAACCCTTCCTTTTTGGTTCCTTCCATTCCAACTCCTGTGAAACCAATCCCAAGGACTTGCTAAACTCTGAAATACAACAGGGAGGACCATTTCTGTGCCAAGCCTTGGTGCGGGGATGCGCTCAGCACTTGTGCATCCAGGCAGTGACGGCATAACTCGGTACACGGGGCTGACTCCCAGCCTCCCTGGGTGTAGGCTCTGTCACAGGTGAGGAGATCCATGGGCCCAGAGAGATTGAGCAACTGCCTCAGAGCACCCCAGCTACTGAGAGGCATGTGTGGTAATGGACCCAGTTGGAGTCAGGTTAGGGACTTGGATCACTGACATCCAAGGCTGGTGTCTTGTACCTAATAAGCCCTTAGATAATTTTCAAGCTGTTAACTATAAATGTGATGTGTGCTTGGAATTCAGCAGGCCACTTTCCGTGGTGGGATTGTATCAGTCAGTGTTTACTAGAGAAACAGTTCTAACACAAAATATGCAAATGTATGAGAATTTACAAGACTGGCTTACTGTGGCCACCCACAGAGTGGGATGAGGAAGAGTGCAGAGGGTCTGTCTGCACACTGGAGACCGAAGGATTCAGTCGAAGGTCTGGAGCTCACTGCAGTGTCCCGTGCGAGTCTGTATCAGGAGGCCTAGGGGTCTGCGATGGAGGCTGAAGACTGAAGGCTCTGCTGGAAGCCAGGAAATGACATCCAGGGCAAAGACTGGAGCTCCTCCAAAGGAACAGAAGCAGGTCCGTCCTTCCTCAGTTCCCTGTTGTACTATCCTGGGGACGAGGTGCCAGAGAGTGGGTCCCCCATATCCTAGGGTGTGGAATTGCTGAGCTGATTTAAACTTCTCAAGTTGACACAATCGATCAGTTATCACAGTGGTGCTATACTCCCTTTCCCCTCATCCCTCCAGATTTAGTCCCATTGTTTGGGGCTCCCAACTTTTCTCAGGCTCTTTTCTTTTGGGGTGCCCAGGGCACCCAGGACTGGGCCTGCGGATCCTCCACGCAGCTCTGGGAAGCCAGCATCGGGTGTGCAGTGTCGGAGGTAGGATGCCTCCGACATTTAGCTTCATGCCCTGTTGTGGTTCCTGTCCACTGGGGCCGAGAGCCCGGATCAGGAGGGTGTTGCTAGGTGACAGGAGTGTGCGTTTATAAGGTGTGTCTTAAGCTTTTACTTTAACAGCTTCATCCTAGCAGCAGCTGGCAGGGGCCCTTGGTTTTTCTATTTCCGGGAGCTCCTGAGCAGCAAGAAGCAATGGAGTCAGGCCGAGTGAACTGTTCACCTGCCAGGAGGGATGCAGGGGGACAGACAGGGTCTGTAGATTACACTAGTTTGGTTTTTGGAACATCCAGGTTTGCATTGGCCTTATGGAAGGGAGGGTGTGTGAGGCAGAGAGCCCAAAGCTCCAAGTTCGAATGCTGAAGCCACCGTGGCAGCTCTCTGACCCAGGCCAGGTTAACCAGCCTCTCTGTGTTTTTTTGTTCAGGGGAGGCTTGGCCTGTGGCTCTGGTCCATTCAGTGTCCCCTGCACTTGGTTTGTTCCTGGAGGCTGAGTGTGGGCCCTGCTCCCTGCCCAGGCTCATCAGGATAACTTAGGGATCCCCTGCCTCTTGTTTTGGGACGGGGATTTGCTATGTCCCAGGCTGGCCTGGAACTCACAGTGATCCTCCGGCCTCAGCCTCCTGAGTATTGGGCTTCTAGGTGTGCACCACCATGCACAGCTTACCTGGGCATCTCTTGTGTGGCACATTCTCCCTTTCTCACCAGCTCCCTGCACGCACACCGACCTACCACACTTTGCGGAGGGAGGCCTTGCTCTATGTGAGGCTGCTGAAATGAGCTCAGAGATGCTGAGTAACTTGTTTGAGGTCCCTCGGCCACTCCTGGTGGCCCCACTTGGGGCTTCTACCCATGCAGAATAGGGGAGGTGGCCGTTCTCCCCTTGCACGGTCAGCACCGTGCTTGGTTACTTTGACCTCCTGTTTACCGCTGATCTTGGAGCCATTTTTCCAGCAGCGTGCATTGTGGAAGCCAAAGCTGCAGTCTCAGGCTGGGCCGGGCTCTGGTGGAATCACTTTTCCCAGACACAGGTGGGCCATGCGCTGCTTTGGGCTGAGGGCCATCGGCTTGTGGCCCTTGCTGATGACAGAGGCATCCTGGGTCCTGAAACCCAGAACGTGGTGAGCTGGGGAGGCACCATCATTCGGGAGCCTGCTGAGGGCAGGTGAGTGCCCATCAGGGGCGGGAGCCCTGGGGCCACCTGGCTCTGTGGGAGGACAGGGGAGCTGCTCTGTGGAGGTGCCCACCTGCCCAGCAGCTGGCCTGGAAGCTCCTGGCACCTGGACTTCGCCTTCTTGGAGGGCTGTGCAGTGGGCAGAGGCAGAGCAGGCACCACGGTGGTGAGATCCCGCCAGCACCTGTGTGGCTGCGATCCTGTCCCCTTCAGGGCCCCGTGTCCTCGGGTGGTCACAGGCAGGGTGGCGCTGGTGGCTGTGCCCCTGGCCCTGACCCAGTCCTCACCGAGAGATGGGAATAACGACCCTGCTCCTCCAGAGCGTGTGCCCCTTCTTTGGACTCTGGGTCTTTTCGGTGTCACCGGATCCCCATCCAGGGGGAGGGGCCAGCAAACTGTGGCTCTGCATCAGGCGCTTTCTTGGAAGAGCCATGCAGGCTCAGGAGTGTGTTGTCTTTGGCCGTCCGCGTGCTTTGGGGACAGAACTGTG